TAAGGCCCACCTAGTGGTGCGCCCCCCCTCTCTCCCCCTTTGGCCGCCCCCTAGATGGGATCTAGGGCTGGCCGCCACCCCTAGGGGTGGAAACCTAGGTGGGGGCGCAGCCCCTCCCTTGCCCCTATATATAGTGGGGGGTTTGGGGCTGCCATACACATGAGAACATCTCCCTCTTGGCGCAGCCCTACCCCTCTCCCTCCTCGTCTCTTGCGGTGCTTGGCGAAGCCCTGCTGGAGGGCCACGCCCCTCCACCACCACCACGCCGTCGTGCTGCTGCTGGACGGAGTCTTCCCCAACCTCTCCCTCTCCCCTTGCTGGATCAAGGCACGTGAGACGTCATCGGGCTGCACGTGTGTTGAACGTGGAGGCGCCGTTGTTCGGCGCTTAGATCGGAATCAACCATGATCTGAATCGCTACAAGTACGACTCCTTCATCCGCGTTCTTGTAACGCTTCCGCATCACGATCTTCAAGGGTATGAAGATGCACTCCTCTCTCTCTCTCTTTGCTAGTATCTCCGTAGATTGATCTTGGTGTTGCGTAGAAAATTTTGAATTTCTGCTATGTTCCCCAACATCATGAACATATAGGGCTAGTTGAAATCAACCAAAGTACCCATTTAGATGTTCCTGATGTCTATATTGCGGCTCAACAGGCGACCCAAGTATTCTATCTACCGTGGGCCTGCCAAACTAATCCAAATCTGAAAGGTTGGGATGTCATTTATGAAGTGCTGCCAGGTGCTAGACTATCTCCCCCAAAGGAAGAGGATTATGAACCTCACATTAACCCAAACACATATGAAGGAGAATTCTTCCAAAAGACACGTTTTTCCAAAAAGCATTTCAAGAACCGCTATACTTCACCCCAAAACATTAAAGTAGACAGCGACAGTGAATCCCACATCACCCCAGAGGAGGAACAAGAAGAGCCGGAACAAGAAGAGGTTACTGCTGCGGATGACCTGTCAATGCTTGACCGATTACGTCAAGGTGGCCTTCCACATGTTGATGCCACTGAACCCTATGAGCCCGTCATTGATTATAGTGATGATGATGATTATGCATTTATTGATGATACTGATCGAGATTATTAGTAGTGTCAGGTATTCAATTTTTTTATGTTGTACTTGATGATGATACACTTAAGTGCTATACATATTATTATTCATGCCGGTATTTTTTTATGTTGTACTAATTTCATTTACTCTTTGTCATGGCAGGTGTTGAAATATGGAAGGGGAGCCGACTGAGGCCAAGGACAAACATGCCCAAATTGAAGGTGTGCCACACCATCAAGGTAGCTCCAGCTTATATCAGTTCGGGCGGAACTGGGTATGTGGTTTGCTTCATGATTAATGCAATTCATTCATCATGCTAGCTTGAGCCCTTTAATTACTAATTTACTTTGTTTCTCTCTTTCAGGCATGCTACAATAAGACGGATAAGGTGCCAGAGGGGTACAACCTGTATGCCATGGCCCACACTGCCTCTTACAAGAAAGTCAAGGGGAAGGCGAGGAAAGGGGAGGACTTTAACCCGAGCCAGATTCCCATTGATCCAGAGCAGGTGATGATATCTGGTGGTGGGAGGTCCCGTGGCTCCATAGCCATTGATCCAGAGATTGCTCCTGAGACCACGGTGAGTTTAATTTGAATGGACGTTACTTCCTAGTCTTAACATTTGAGTGTCATCATGCTAACGAAACATTGGAAATGATCTTTGGTGCAGCGTAACTCCAGACAAGCATCACACGATCCTTCTCCAGCTACTGGCACGAGCCAGCCCGCTCCTACACCTCCATGATCACGGTAAGTTTCTCTAGTTTTTTGCTTAATAAATGCATAAAGACCTAGACTTAGCTTTATTTCCTCCAATATGCTTACCTTAATGACCTAGAGTTAGCTTCTTTTTCTCCAAAATGACTTAATAAGCTTACTGACCTCCAAAACCAGCCATTTTACCTAAGTTAGCTCTAAAACGATCTATACTTAGCTTTGTTTCCTCCAAAATGACCTAAGTTAGTTATAATATGCTTAGTTAACTAGGTTTGCTCAATAATGACATGTACTTAGCTTACTTATGTAAAAAACGGCATAATTAGCTTAGTTAGCTCATAAACGATCCATTTTATCTAAGTTAGCTCTAAAATGACCCATTTTACCTTAGTTAGCTCATAAATGATCCATTTTACCCAAGTTAGCTTTAAAATGACCCATTTACCTAGATTATCTCCAAAATGATCCATTTTACCTAGATTATCTCCAAAATGATCCATTTTACCTACGTTAGCTCTAAAATGACCCATTTTACCTACGTTAGCTCCAAAATGACCCATTTTACCTACGTTAGCTCTAAAATGACCCATTTTACATACGTTAGCTCCAAAATGACCCATCTTACCTACGTTAGCTCTAAAATGATGCATTTTACCTAAGTTAGCTCTAAAATGATGCATTTTACCTAAGTTAGCTCATAAACGATCCATTTCACCTAAGTTACCTCACAAACAATGGCGTGCTTCTTCTTCTAGTCTTCTTCTTCTAGTCACCTTTTCATAACTTTTTTATTTGCCATTTTGCAGATTTCATTCACTTCTCGGAAGCTAGCTTGCTATGATGGAGTGCTTGTTTTTTATTTCATTCTCTTCTAGTATTCTTATAGCTTGCTAGGATGGAACTTGCTATCTTTATGAAACTTTGCATTGTAATATGTATGTGCAACTTCCTAATGGTTGCAACTTATTTGTATGTGCAACTTGCTATGTATGAATGGATGGAACTATATATGTATGTACGATGAAACTTATGTGCTGGATATGTCATATGTTTGCTGTTAAATAGCCCTGTGAAATATATCTATATATGTCATATATATTTGCTGTGAAAATTGTTGGATTTGAAAAAAACAGATAAAAAGAGCCAATATGCAGGCTCTTTGCCGTCTGCCACCGATGGCAATGGGCTCTTTGCCGTCAGCCGCGGACGGCAAAGAAGCCACGTGGCAGCCAACTGTGCTTCCTGGGAGCTGACCCATTTGGTCAGTTTGCCTACAGTGGCAGACGACAAAGAGTAATGACGTCTAGCTGACATCATACGGCGGACGGCAAAGGCAGGACAAATTTTGCCGTCAGCGGCGGACGGCAAAGGCCTGCCGTTAGCCACCTAACGGACTAATAGCGCAATTTTTGCCGTTTGCTTTCTTTGCCGTCCGCTACTGATGGCAAAGGCCCCTTTGCCGTCAGCCACCAAAAGCAGACGACAAAGTAGCTCTTTACCGGACCTTACTTTGCCGGAGCCTTTTGTCGTCCGTGGCGGACGGCAAAGACCTTTGTCGTCCGCCATTCATGCCTTTGCCGTCCGCCGTGGCAGACGGCAAAGTAGCTGATTCCTGTAGTGATAAGCTCCTCAAGCCAATCAACAGTAGAAGAAAATCTAGCCGACCTAGCAAGCTCGTGCGCGTAGTTCTTATCTCAGTTGTGTGGTGTCATGGTGATTTGCCATGGTGGTGTTGCCTCGCGTGCTAGCAGCGACGACATTGTCTGCGGATTTGGGTTTATTTTGGTTGGATATGACAAAACTGACTGATTCTCTTTCGAAACCCTGGATTCTTCCTTGGAACTGCTCTGTTTTCTAAGCAGTTTACATGACAACTTTTGCGAAACATTCTTAAAAAGTTACCACAAGCTCTAAGGGTCATATCATGACATCATGCCAAGTTTTAATTTTTTACCATTTTTGAATTTTTTAGAATTAAAAGCCAATAAGCTCCATGTTGGTGGCCGAGTCTTGGCACCCTGGTATTTCACACTGCTTTTCTTCTGTTGGATAAGGCCTAAACATAGACTAAAGACCACCAATATGAATTTATAACCTATATCTGGCCATTATTTCACACACTTGCAGTTTAAATTTGAGTTATATTCATTAAATGACTATAAATACACTAAATGGCTTGAATATAGCAAACAAACCCAAGAAACGCAAGAAAATTGACACGTGACATGTAATGGTGTATGATCAAGTTGAAAGCTATTATTTGATAGAGCTAAAACTTGAAAGCCCCATCCATATTACCCCATAAAACTCCTTATCCTGGAAATATAATGGGAATTTGAAAGTGAAAAGGCGAAACTGGGGAGGCGACAAACTAACCACAACACACAACGGTATGGGAACCAACAGAGAAGATGGTCCACTTAAAAGAATACAAAGAAGATGGTCGCGCCAAAGGAAGGGAGAACTGTAGAAGGTGGTGGTCGCCGAGGAGCGGGGGTGGAGGGACAATAATAGGAGGATGCAACGGCGACATGGGGGTATGAACAGCGCTGGCGGAAAACAAGCCAGGCGGCGGCGACGATGCGGGGAGGAAGACACATGGAGGAACATATTAAAAGGTATATTAAGAGACCTAAATGTTTAAGGGCTAAAATGAACAAGAGAAAACCAGTAGCCGACAAAATGAAAACACAAAGCTAGGAAACACGCACGGTTGCCTCTCCTTACACCACATGTCGAATGCGGAGAGCGACGAAAAAATCCCTCGTCCCATGACAACGCGACACTTGTTGCGCTGGGACTCTGACCCGAAGTGACATCCACAAGATATCTCTTAACTAGTGATCGGTCGGGTGAAAAAAATGAACTCAACACCGGAAGCTTGGAATTGACGATAACCTTCCCACACAAAAAAAGGAATTGACGATAACCAGGCCCATGGCCCACGGCCCACCGTAAGCTCCCCTCGAAATCCATGGATTACGCTACGCCCCACACCGTTTCTGCGTAGAAGCTTCCCCTCTCTCCTCCGGCCGCGATGGCACCGTCTGGCTCGAACCCGCTGGGGCCAGTGTTCCAGACCGTCGCCGCCTTCTCCCGCCGCCTCCTCATCGCCCCCGACACCGCACCCGACGACCACCGCCTCCGCCCCCTCCTCTCCCTCTCCCTCTCCCCGCCCGCGCCCCTGCCCCCGGCCCCGCCCCCGCCGCCGGAGGTCCTCAAGGCAAGCTCTCTCTCCCCGCTTCCTCTCCGTTTCTCCGTATGGAGGGGCTTATCCTAAGGTGTTCGGCTGAATGCGCAGCAGATGGATACGAAGGTGGCGCCCCTGACGAAGGAGGAGGTTGGCCGGGCCACGTGGATGCTGCTCCACACCATCGCCGCACAGGTGCTCCGTCTTTACTTTCTCTGTCAGTAGCACACCAATGTGCAGCAATTGCCTGAAGCTACTAGTCTTGTTCATTTAGCAACATATCATGGGTCGTCAATGTGGATGGTCCATGGATTATTATGCATTTTGCGTTTATTGATCAATTTAATTGTGGATAGGGCAACGAGTTGTTTGAAGCATCGATGCTTTAAATCCATTTGCTGCCAGCTTTACTGTGTTTTGTTTAACCGTGTTTCAGTTTCCTGATGAACCAACCAGGCAGCAGAAACGCGATGCGAAAGAGCTGGTAAGCGGGACAGGGAACTCAACTACATTTCTTTACATTTGGTGGTGACGCATAGGTGTACTTGTATGTCATAATCTGCATATCTTGCGGAATTGCGATCTTGGAAGATGTATGAGCACTTTGCAGGCACTAGTTATTTACTGTCTAGGGCTAAGAAGAACATTCCAATTCAGACATCGATGTTTTTTTTATAGGCTTAGCTTGAGATCCGCACATGCTTTGATAAGTTAACCTGTAACGGATTCATCGAAAGCAATGCTTGTTTTATTCTTTTATTGACTCAAATAGATGCGAGACTGTTACTTGATAAAATTCAGGCACAACGGGTTTCACAGATTGAGTATTGCTATGGCAAAACTACTGGGACATGCTATATTATAGACTTACCGATAACTTTTCTGTTCATTTCTAATAAGTTCTGAGCTTACACGGTTTTAGTAAGTATGTCTTCCACTGGGTTTATCATTACTCTGAATTATTATCATGTTATACAAGAGACTATTGACTACCACTTAATCTATCTGGAATATCAGTAGAAATTAGTTTGTTTTCTCTCTTCCTGAAGATTTCCCTGTCACCCATCTCATTTTAACTTTTGCTTGTCTTTTGGGTCCATGTACAAAGATAACATTTCTGCCTGTTTTCATATTCAGATGGCTTTACTTTCTAGAATTTATCCTTGCAAAGAGTGCGCTGATCACTTCAAGGAAGTTTTGAAGTAAGCAATGCTCTCCGGCCTCTTGGATAAATTGTTATTTCCATTTAAGGGGTTTGATGCTTGTGATGCCTTTGTACGCTACAGGCTTATATCTTGCTGAAATGTTGGTATTTGATAGTTATCAAGGAATTCTTTGACCTTTTGCTGCTATATGATTAGTTATTACTTTTGCAACATGAACCTATGCGTATAGTGTCAGATCACCAAATTCATATACATGCACTTGTCTGGCACAATCTGCAACATTTTATGATTAAACGGTTCTTCACAGAAACCAGGTGATACTGACAAGGATCATATAGATATAACAATTGAGCATGATGATTCAATGGCTATTTATGTGTACCAATTGCTAATATGTGGCTCAGGTGAATTGCTGGCCATTTGGGTTCTTGAAAGCTTGCTTAGATTAGAACACTTCATCGTTGTGGTGTAATATGTTCAAACCATGTGATCAGGTTGTCCAGTTGTTGTTACTCGATCACCTTTTTGTGTTATGTCAACATAATGGCAAATAGGCTGTTCTCTTGGAACAATGTTAAACTGACTTCATTATGATCCTATTTTCAGAGCAAATCCTGTGCAGGCAGGATCCCAGGCTGAGTTCTCTCAGTGGTTATGCTATGTGCACAATGTGGTTAATCGAAGGTAAGTCCATACGAGCAACTTTGTAATGTTTACTCGGTGGTCCCTTGGAAAACCATCAAGGTAATTGTAGTTATAATGTCTTTCTGTTGTCACTGGAAAGATACGGTCTGCAGGCCAAAAAGAGGAGAACCGAAGCAGTATATCGTTTTGGTTCCCTTTTACGACAAACAGATGTTCTCATTCATCACAACATATAATGATTTTACAGAATATTAGGCTGTCCACCGACGGGACCATTCTTGTGAGCTGTTCACCTGAGCGTATTCTGGTTGTCTTTTGCAGCCTTGGAAAAACAATATTTCCCTGCCAGAGAGTAAATGCACGGTGGGGCAAGCTGGATTGCCCGGATCGCGCGTGCGACCTAGAAGGCTCGAACGACATCATGCCGAACCGATGACACTGCCCAGAAACCTTATAAAATTTCCGCGCCAGTAACAAGTTTAAACCACCATTGGATGGGCAATACCAGGAGGATAAGGAAAGATAATTCAGGACAATACCGGTGTATTATTATTGTTTACCTCCTCCATCCTCTATCCCTAGCAAATGTAATACTAGTATATGTCATCTGAACCTGCCCCTTGATGCCGCGTTCCTGTACAGTACAGTTTCGCCATCTTTACGGTGAATCAATGATGATATTATCCTATGATCTGTAAAGGTTTTGGGTGAAGTTGTATCAGTTACACCGATTTAGTGCTCTCTCTGAAGTCTGAACTCTGATGCTTTCAACTCCCCTATCTGTCAAACATTACAGGTTTCTGTGCAACCTGTATCACCGAAAACCCTGGAAATGGGACACGTTCTATTCATGAGATTGCATAGGATAATTTGTGGGAAAAAGAGGCGGCAAATGCGTCGATCACTACTGCTAGTAGTAGTATATTCAGAGGCAGCAAGACCTGCAAGAGCTTGGCAGTCAATGACAAAGCAGGCCCGACGGAGGAATGCATGGAGGCCACCTTCCTCGCTTTGCCCGGCCATTTTTCCTGCACCGCCTGCCTCCTCGGTGTTGCCGAGACATAAATTCTGCCGTGTTATCGCGCCATTTCTTTAATCCCATGCTGACACCTACGAGTGATGCACATGCGGAGGTTGCATCACCCGTTGCACTGCATGCACTGCCTGTCTTTATCTTGCAGCCAGGAGACGGTCTCAAGGAAGCAAACCAGAAGAACCAACGCCGGTGCTGAAGCTCAAGCGTCTCAGCTTCTCAGTCTCAGGGGATACTGCAAGCGGTGGAGAGAACGATGGCGATGAAGCGCCGCTCCGTGCTGGCTTTGCTCGTCGTCGCATTCGTCGGAGGGAACCTGCTCCTCGGGGCCTCGTTTAGCGCCAGAAGCACGGTGCAGTCCTCAGCCTCAGGTACGTACGCAATGAAAACTGCCTCCGTTTGCTGTTCTCTCTCTTGCTCTCCTGTCAGTTGTAGTTCAGGTGAATCCTGTTCCGTTTCTTCTGTCCAGTGTTGCTGTGTTGGTGCTTGGTTCGATCTTTGAAAAGATCGTGGATGCGAGGTGGTGAAAGAAACTGCCAGTCCGACATGATAAAGCTATCTTTTTATTTTGGGTCTTCTTTCGCTCTCTTTTTGACGGTTGGGTCCTCTTCTCTGCAACTGCATGCAACTTGAAGGAAATGTTTGGTAGGAAACTAAGCGAGGTTCCCAAAGTTATCTGCATAGCTCCAATAGGCTGTTAGATTCCGTTACGTTTGCATGGGTTGGTGCTGGTTTCTTCGGTTCTCACTATGTAGGTTCAGCAGCTACTTAGTTTCAGTAGGGAATATATGTCCTATGGCTTGAAATCTGAACTGCAATCAATGCAGACCCGACCTATGGAACCGCTGAGCTAAACGGCAGGAGACTAAAGGTGTGCATTCTCAGACAGAACCTGTAAAAGTACACTACATTTCTTCACACATCAGCATAATATACAAGCACCACATGTACCCTCTACTTCACATAATTTTCCTAATGAAATTTTGTTTCTGTTCAATATAGCTTAAACTCTGAAGGAAGAATACCTAAGTCGTGTTCCTTGTATACCTTTTCCAGGAAAGTAGGCATGATGTTACTGACAGGAAGACTAGGAACTTACAAGATGTAAAGACTGATGACTACCAACCTATCGACCCAAGTCCAAGCTCCAAGGCAAGTATCAGGCCAGCTCCAATCGAGCATGGCACTCCTCTTCTTCCTTATGTGCCACGGTACCCGCCGCCTCCTGCTCAACCGAAGGATGCGCGTTCTGCTCAGTCCGCCGCCGCTCCTGTCGCTTAGCTGAAAACTGAAATGCTCCAGAGGCGGTACTTGAAAAATTAGAGAACCACCATATGTCCAAAGTCTTCTCTGATGTTATGTTATGTGTCGTATGTGTGTTTACACTAAGTACTTGAATGGTGCATGTCCTTTGATGTCTCAGTGTTTGGAATCACTTGGTGAGGGACAGTGTTAGCTGTATCTGTGGGTGGTCAATTAGTCAACTGCTCTAATCTTGAGGGCATGTTTCTAGATTAGATCCAGCATTATTCTGGGGCACCTAGGTAAGCTGCACTACTATTGTCATATGTAAATGTTATTGTTATGTTATAGAATAACTATGGTATTAGTCAGAACTGTTTACTGAATTCTTATGTGACCTTGGTGCTTGGTTGAAGCAGTTATCCAATTTTCAGAAAACTATCAGTATTGCAATACCTATTTCCAGTGTGAATCATTGGGCAGGTGTATTCACTAATTTAAGCCTCTTAGAAGGTCCGGTTTGGAACGCGAGAATTTTTCTGGGTTCCAGATTGAATTATTTCCTGCGAAATTCTTCTTGTCCCAAACATGCCCTAAAAGTTTATTCATCCACTTCTTCTGTCAGCCATCTGTAAAGATGGTGGATTTGACAACCTACTGAAAGTGGTATTGTCAAACCGGGTTTCATAATGAAAGAAAGTTGTCACTTAATCTCTAAGTGTTTCTCTTATGGGTATTCTCACATTTGAGAATCTTGGAATAAGGTTTTCTAAGTATGGTACCCTCTAGTTATGGTCGGTATGATGAGAAGGATGGCTAGTTAGTCCATGTCATTTCCGAAGACACTTTTCTGAATACAATAGTCAAAAATATACAAACATGTGCTGGTTACATTTTGCGCAATCACCTACCGTTACCATACCCCTTGTATGTATTCTGTGACATCCTATTGAGCACATGCTGATTCTTTATTCTTGATTTGCCTTAGAAACTAAGGATCATGTGTTAATCAGCAAACAAAGCATGCCACCTATCTTTTTTTTTCGATAAGGAGGGACTCCCCGGCCTCTGCATCAGAACGATGCATACGGCCACCTCAATAAATAAAATAGGTTCAACAAAGTCGTATAGTCTTCAACAAAATAAAAGCAAGCTCACCTAGAACCTCGAAGCTAAACCAAGAAAAAACCATAAGCCAAGAAAAAGCCATAAGCCACAACCGGCTGGTAAAATGAAGATAGGAAAACTAATTGCCTATCCTATTACATGACCGCCAACCAAACCGGTTGAAGATATCCCGCGCTATCATCTCCCACCGGACAGATCCAGTAACCAAACGCTCCCTGGCCTCCGTCGGAGTGAGTAAGGACCACATACGGATCAGCGCCGTAGCACGGAATACAACCTGCAAAAAATGAATAGTAGTTATCCTGTTAAAAACCAAGTCATTTCTGCAGTTTCAAATTGCCCATAACAACGCATACACTCCTACACGAATATGCCTAGCTGTATCGGACTCTATCCCATCCAGCCACGTTCCAAATAACGACCCAACCGTACTTGGAGGAGTGATGTTAAAAGCAATTTGCACAGAGCGCCACAGAATTCTCGCCAAAGGACAATCAAGGAAGAGATGCTTAATGGTCTCATCATGATCACAGAAGCTACACCTAGTAGATCCAGTCCAATTGCGCTTGACCAAGTTGTCCTTTGTTAAAATTACCTGTTTATGGACAAACCACATAAACACTTTAATTTTCAAAGGCACATGTACTTTCCACACATGCCACCTATCTGTACTGTCTTGGCAACTTCCTGCAAGCGTGTGTTCAATTGTATAGCATATTTGACTTGGTGATAGTACAGTTAAGCTGCAGTTTTGTTGATGTGAGTATGCAGCTGCAAAATTGGCAGCAAAACTTAGTTTGTCAAATCAAATGTACACCTGTCAAAACCATACAATGTCATTTTGCCGACATCGGAGAAGGAGGAATATAGCATGGTTTCTTCTTTAGTAAAATATGATATAATGCTGACATATAATGTTAGCTTATCTATTGATGTAATCTATCAATTCTGTAGAGCTGGTTGTTGGGATTTCCAGGATTGCTTTCAACTTAAGTTCAGACAAGCAGAACAAACTAATGGTGATTGGCTGATGGTTCCCCTTATACCGGTCTCTTCCTTTCAAACTTTGTTCATCTGTCCCACTGACACAAAGAGATGTCACAATATCATATGATCTATTATATGATACATGTCACTGTTTTTGTCTCGCGGACTAATATTTGTCAAAAGTAAATTTGACCACAAAAATCTTCTTGAAATTAACTTGGTTGCCAAAGGCATGTTCTGTTATATTAAGAATGTGTGCTCTAGATCAAAAGCAAGTAGAACTAAACATGCACATTACCTGCCAGGGCACATCCTGTTCATAATCTTATAAAGAAATACCAATGTTGATTCACACGCAGAGAAAAGAATCAATATGTCATCAGCAACTTGGATAAGCTAGAGTGACACGAGACCTAATCACCAAGCAACACTAGCAACAACCTTGATTACTATCATGACTTCATGAGTCATGACATGCATGTTCCTTCTGCTTCAAGGTATAATCCCATCACAGAGTTCTAATTAAAGTCCACATACACTATGTATCCACCACTATGGATCTTTTTACAAGAAACTACTCATGCATGCATCCTCCTTTCTATCTACTATAGGCAGTGAGCTTCAATTACCTCTCCACTGGCAGCCTTCAACTATTATCACTTTGAGTCTGAGTGACCAAATTATGCCCATTAGGTGACACCTACTTTCAGCGATAGGCCTATTACTGCAAACAGCCTAGCTAACAAGCTTTTGTAGTGGACAATAATTGTGGTTGAGTACCGGTGTTAAGACTCGGCAATCACAAAAATCGCCCTTTGCTGACACCTTAGCTGCTAATGGTGATGCATTGTTAGACTTTGGAGCGAAAACCGATGGTGTTGTTTCTTTCAACAGTATTCCTGACCCAACAGATACAGTGACAGAGGTTGTTCAGAAGATGTTGAGTTTGCGATGACATTTTTCCAAACCATCGGTTCGCAGCAGTACAGTTATCGTAGTCGGAAACAGACATTTCAAAGTGGCGTATATCTGAATTTACCTTTGGG